GACTGGGTCGTATCGGTTCTAATACATGGCCGGTTCGTTGCTTCAATCGAACCGGTTATATGATCGATTTATCGGTTCCCGAATCGACCCAGCCGAGTTGGTCCGATTTTATTAACACTACTATAAAGCCTTATGTAACGCACGGTATAAAGTCCACCAAAAATGAAATTACAGACAACATTGACTAATTAAGAGCATTATTAATTCGTGTAGCTAGCACATATAATGTCTTCAACCTCACAAAAATATATTTGATAGGTCAATTTTTATGAGAACAGGTGACCCGGTTCGACCTGGCCAATTTTTATGAAAATCGGTGACCCGGTGATCCTACTCGGTCTCAAAAAAAAAAAATTCAAATTAATTTTTTCAAAAAAAGAATCATAATGGACATATTTGAATATTTTTTTACTTATTGACTTACATAAGTTATGTACCTACAACACTAATATTACTTCAATTATGCACTATGCAGAAAATTTTGATTTGATTTATAGTTAGAGATGTCATTTTCTGAACCTAAAGTCCCGTATCACGATCATTATATTTTTGTTTGATTTTTTATTGGATAATAATATGTGATTTATTATTTTTTATATTAAAATATTTGATTTTTTTTATCATTTTTTTAGATATTTGAGTATTTTTATATTTTTTAATATAAATTATAAAATTACATATAATTATCGAGTCATGCGGTTGAACCAGTGATCCACTGGTTGATCCAATGACCCAGTACCTTAACCGAAGCAATGACCAAGCAAATTTTAATAACATTGGTATTTTTGATAAATTTCGAACTCTTGTACTCAGAAAATGTGCCACATTAAGACAAATATATATTTTCCCTTCGGATTTTGGTTAAGAGGTCAATTATGGTTAGACAGAAATCAGGGTTATAGTACTGTATTGTCGAGGAAGTTTAATTTTAAGAGAAGACAAATGTACTGCTTTAAATTTTTAAAGATTCATAAAGGTCCCAATGTCAATAAATGTGTAGTCTTAATTCTTAAAATGTAGAATATCGCCATCACTTAACATAGACGTCCGTAAATTAAAAGGACAGGATATAATTCTCGTACAAATTAATATTTACTTTTTATATTATCTATTAATTTATCGATTACTCCACTAATACAGTTCGATCCAAATAAAATTATAAGCCGCAAATCTCTTCGTATTCATTAATATCTTTAGAATTAAGTCACACAAAATTAACCGATAATTGACCAATTACCTTTTTTTTTTCTTTCAGCATGATGACAAGCAGAGATTCAGAATAATTCATGCTCCTTCTGAAACATCAGCCACGATGATAAGTTCGTTGAATGTCAAGTGATGGATGGTGACGTTGACAAGTGGTCTATGAGTTCTTGTGGCAACGTAATTAAAATTTTGATTTAAATCTATATTTTTAAGATATTTTTTAATTAAAATGATTTTATCAAAATTTCAAATAATTTTATTAATTTTTATGATTTTTTTTACGTTAAAATTTTATATTTTACGATTTTTTATCTTCCTTTCAATTTTAAGTAAAATTCTGATTTTAACTACCATACTCGTGGCCACTCAGATACTTTTTTTTATTCTTCAATTGCTTTTCCTCGTATTATTCCATTTCTCTCCTTTTCTCAAATGAATCTGTTGGGCCATTATTGTTTAAAAATATTTTAAGGAAAAAAAAGGTCTTGATCGGGTCATTTGCTTTCTCAACCCTTTTTGGACCAAAAAATGGATTTTAATTTGTATAATAAAACGCTTAATTCAGTCATTAATATGTTTCCTTAATCACGGTCAAACTTTCTTCTTGATGAACCAGGCGACAAATGACAATGAAGCTTCAAGAATTATCACATGTGGAACATAATTACTTCTATTCTATTTTCGCATTGATTAACTCAACTAATGGTGGAAACTTGTATGTTTCGGTTATCCAAAATAAGAGAAAGAATTGAAAAAAAAAGGTCTCTCTCTATGATTTCGTGTATATTTAATATTAAAGGGGTTAAAATAGGACAAAATGACATGTGCAGATAAAGTATCCAATGCATATAACGGTACAAGGAGTCAGGAGACACTGCAATTTCTTATAAAAAAAAAAGTATAAAGAAGAACGGAATTCAAAACATTGATATTACGACATGCTATTCATACCATACCTATATTTTCGCTACAGGTAGGCATCAAAATGCCATTAATGCAAACTTGCAGAGTTGAGCAGCCACCTACCAAATAATTTGTCCATGGAAATTGGCCAAGTAGAAAAAAACAGCAACTAACTAAAGTCATATCATATTATGATATTGATATGTTGTGTTTCCGCACATTACTAGGCCGTTCTAGGAATTAAAGGCATACAACTGGGGGACATTGAAAATCAATCAACAAACTTTTTGATTTATGAATATCCAAAAAAAAAAAAAAAAAACTTTTTGATTTATGACATTTTTTTTCTTGGGTACAGATGTATAATCACTATTTATGATTACATTTAGACATTTCGTGAAAAATAGCTTAGAGAATATGAAGTATTTTACTCTCTGTTTTTTTGTTTTTACAAACTGTTATGTTAGAATCTCATCAAAAGAATAAAATTTGTTCTCCTATGCCACTGATACTCACACCATAATTTTATTGTAATTAAAATAATTTATACTTGAACTTGGTGCAAACATAATGTGGAAACATCATATAATATTTTTTTTTGGCACTAACTTGAAATATCATACAAACTCAACTATGTATTTTCGAAAATAGGCTCGATTAAGAATGCATTCTCGAAAATATATAATGTAATTTGTAAACAATATATATATATATATATATATATATATATATATATATATATGAAGAGAGATCATTTGACTCAAGAGTAAGACTTATAAGTCTTACTCTCTATCCTAACCGTTGATTTTCGTCCATCCAACGGTTATAATTTAGGAAGTTATATTAATTAATTAATTATTAATTATACTATTAATGACTACCGTTGATTTCCGTCCATCAACAGCTGAGATTTGGAATAAGACTTAAAAGTCTTACTCTGGAGTCAAAAGAACCCTCCCCATATACATATATATGTATGATATAAGATCATTTGACACCAGTCTTAAATTTCAAATTTGACATCTCATCTGAGAGCCGTTAGATCAAAAAAGATCAACGACTCTGATTTGCAAGCATGTAACACCATTGATCTAACGGTTATCAGATGAGGTGTCAAATTTAAAATTTGACACCGGTGTCAAATTTAAAATTTGACACCGGTGTCAAATGATCCTATCTCTCTCTATATATATATAAATTATAGGGATAGGATCCTTTGACACCGGTGTCAAATTTTGAAATTTAACACCAAATTCTAACCACTGATTTCTACCAATCAACGATTATCATTTATTGGGAATCAAACTTATTAATTACTATTAATTCTCAATAAATGATAACCGTTGATTGGCGAAAATCAACGATTAGGATTTGGTGTCAAAGGATCCTAATATATATATATAGATATATATGAAGAATATTATATTTATAAACTAAATAGTTTACAAACTTTTACAACTTAATCTTAACCATTGAATTCCGTAAATTTAACGGTTATAATTTATTGAGTCACACTTATTAATTATTAATTCTTAATAAATTATAACCGTTAGATTGACGAAAATAAATAATTTTTTAAGATTTTTGGTTGTAAGAATTTATAAATTATTTAGTTTATACATATAACCTCCCTATTGAAAAAAGATTTATTATTGATATTTTATACATGATCATACTATATATTGATGCCGCCTTAAAATGGCATCAATTCAAACCATGGCATCAATATGAAATTCAAAATGGAAATAAAGTCTACTCTAACATAAAAAGAGTGAGAAGAAATGTCCAACTCTAAACAAACAACAACGTGGAATTTCAACGGGACGGGTTTCATTGGTCCCCTCCAATCCACAAAAACCCAATAATTATTTTCTTTTGAGATGAATAAGCAGTCAAAAATATTCAACGACCCATTTTATATTTTTCAAAAATAATCATATATATATATGCATGCTAAGCAAATGGACAACACCGCTTTATTGGCATTGTGTCTTATGTTACCAGAATTGTGTCTGAGACTGTCTACTACAACGGATCTTACAACCCATACCCCCCCCCCCCCCCCATTTCTCTCACTCTCACTCTCTTCTTTGCTTTCACTGTCTAAGCTCTGTTTCTCTCTCTACTATTGTCATGGGTTGGATTAAGACTATCGTTTTCTTGGCCACCAAAGAAGCCCCTCGTGAAGTGCATGTGAAGCTTGCTCAGAGATCTGGGTCACCTTCCTTTTTCTGATTCAGGTGATTGTGGTGTTTGCCTTCTAGCTTTTTGTTTGATACACCTTCTTTCTCTCTTTTTCCCCCTTTTGTAAATGTCATATCATGTTCTTTGTGCCTCTGCTTCATTATCTCCCTCTCATTTCCCCAAACAGTGTGGTTCTTTCTGTGATTGATTGGTTACTTTGACTGCACTTGAGCTTTGAGAAGGGTTCTTGGCTTCTTCTCTTCTGCTTGAATGGTCTAATCTCAAGATTGTGCCTTGTGGTGTCTAAAGCTGCTTATAGTCGGTAGCAGCACTCTGGTCTGGTTCACAAAGTTCAGTCCTTTTGCCACTCTGTTTGATTCAATTATTGGGTCTTGTTTATGGAGTATCTCGTGGGAAGTTTGGTCATTAATGATTCCTCTTGAAGGGTGTTTCGTTAATTGGGTCGAATCTTGTTGGTTCTTAGTGTTAGCTTCCTTCGTGGGATAAATGACCATGAGAGTCGCTGTTTCCCTTTTGGTGATTTTGAAATCTTGCCTTGTTTTGGCGTTTCCACGTAATTAGTGGGTGTTCAGAATTGATTAAGCATTTTCCTTTTGTTTTTGCTTTTTGCTGCCATAATTATGAAATACTGGCACAATTACAGGCAAAAATGAGAGATATTCTGCTTTGTTTCCTAAATTTAGAGGAATTTATGCTGTCATATGGGTTGATACTCTGATCATGACTCGGGCTGTCCGCAATAGGGTACTAAAGGATGCCAATGGTGATATTAGTGATCATCTACGCAACCACATCCATTTAACAAATTGTATTCACTTGAAGAACCACATGCACAAGAACAGCCCCATACTGGCTGATAGGTCAATCATGAGGGATCTTGTTGTGCTGCAAAGATCACGCTCTCTCAGGGACCCTTCTGCGAGTCCTCCATCATGGCACTCACCTTCTGTAGCTGATGTACATTTCAGAAGAGTTGAAAATGATGCCATGGTTCAGGGGGGAAGAAGGTCTGTAGGTGTTGAGCGCAGGAAGGAAGGGAGGAGATTGTCTGGAACCTCACCACCCTTGGTGAATTTAGGTACATCAAGAGCTGCTTCAGGTGAGGCTAGTAGGGGTAATGATGGGGTACTGGCAACTAGTGAACGTGGTAGCACGAGTGTAATGGGCGATGGGAGGAGAGTTGGGAGAGAAGCAACTGGTAGGAAGAGTGATAGGCCTGATTATTTGGATGTTAGTCAAGAGCAACCTCTCAATCAAGCTGGCAAAAGTTTGGCTGAAGATGTTATTTCAAGGCATTCTGAATCTAAAGAGAGAAGGAGCAGACAGCGGGGGAAGAATGTTCAGGATGTTCAAGTTAAGACCCTTTCTGAGCAGCTGAACGATGTTCCATTGGATAGTGATGATTTAGCATCATCAAACATTCATTTTCGAGGAAGGTATCCAAGACAGGGGAAAATTATTGAGGAGGCAGAGGCCGGCATACATGGTCATGGCAGGGGAATGAATAGAGTAAAAAGGCGTAAATTTCGAAACACAAGAAGAGCTCGGGTTGCTACATCATCAAGAGATATTGGAGCTGAGAATGAATTGTCTGTGGCTTCCAACTCATTGGCTCAGGGTACAACTCTCCCCAAATATCACTCGGAGGAGGTTAATGATTATGCAGATGAAAATGTTACTAGAGCTCCAAAAAATGGGTGCGGCATTCCTTGGAATTGGTCCAGAATTCATCATAGAGGTAAAACAATCCTTGACATGGCTGGGAGAAGTTTTTCTTGTGGTTTATCTGACTCTAGGTTAAAGAAAGGGACATTAAATGCCAATGGAAGAAATATTTCTGAGATGCCTTTGGCATCCGAGCAATCAAGCTCGTGTACTAAATCTGATGCTGAGGTACTACCTTTACTACCTGAGGCATCTGGATCTCATGGAAGCACTGAAAATGCTTGTTGGGACCACGATTATTCTGGGGAACTAGGTCTCTTTGGTGATAATTTGTTCAAGCATGATATCGATTCTGACCTTGCTTCTGAAGCTAGATCTGGCAACCAGCACAAGTTGAGAGGGAATCGTCGTAGTAGACACCAAAGCCTAACACAAAAATATATGCCGCGAACATTCAGAAATATGGTTGGACAGAATTTAGTGGCACAAGCTCTTTCAAATGCAGTAATGAGAAGGAAAGTTGGATTGCTATATGTGTTTTATGGTCCCCATGGCACTGGAAAAACTTCCTGTGCTCGCATATTTGCCAGAGCTTTGAATTGCAATTCTTCAGAACACCCAAAACCTTGTGGCTTTTGCAATTATTGCATAGCACATGATATGGGCAAGAGTAGAAATATAAGAGAAATTGGTCCAGTCAGTAATTTTGACTCTGATAGCATCATGGATCTACTTGACAGTATGATTGTTTCCCCGCTTCCGTCACAGTACAAAGTGTTTATTTTTGATGACTGTGATACTCTGTCAGCAGATTGTTGGAATGCTATATCGAAGGTCATAGATCGAGCACCTAGGCGCGTGGTTTTTATGCTTGTCAGTTCTAGTCTTGATGTCTTGCCTCATATAATAATATCCAGGTGCCAAAAATTCTTTTTCCCAAAGCTGAAGGATGCAGATATTATATATACACTGCAGTGGATTGCAACCAAAGAAGGTCTAGAAATTGATAAGGATGCCATGAAACTCATTGCATCAAGATCAGATGGATCATTGAGAGATGCTGAGATGACCCTTGAACAACTTAGTTTGCTTGGGCAGAGAATATCTGTTCCTCTTGTTCAGGAACTGGTAAGTTGTTATTTGTTATTGTGTTTCTGTCGTCACTGCTTACGCTAAATTCTATTGTAAACTGCAGTTAATATTTCTAATTGGCTATGCATGGATTGCTCTAAAGTTAAATCCTATCTTCAGGTAGGGCTTATCTCTGATGAGAAATTGGTGGATCTGCTTGATTTGGCATTATCTGCAGACACAGTTAACACTGTGAAGAATTTGAGAGTGATCATGGAAACTGGTGTTGAGCCATTAGCTTTAATGTCACAACTTGCTACCGTAATTACTGATATACTTGCTGGGACCTATGATTTCACAAAAGAAAGGCGAAGAAGGAAGTTCTTCCGGAGACAGCCATGTGAGTAAAAAATCTCTTTTGTAGATATTTTTCCAAGTTATCAATTTATTGCAAACTGAAATGACAATGATCATGTTAGTTCTCAGATCTGAAGTAACTCTATATTTAATACTGCACCATTTCAACTTATCATTCTTTTAACATCTCTTATATATATATATATATATATATATATATATATATATCTTTTGGTTACCAGAACTGTCTATCCTGATAAATATTTTGTCTAGTCTTACTTGCGGTTTACATTTCTGTCAGAGTGGAGACTGGAGACAGGAGAGCCTTAATCTGGTTTCATATTGATGAGTATGTTTTTCGTTATTATACTTCCACTAATTGATTATGCTGGTTTCTGTCTCAGTGTCCAAAGAAGACATGGAAAAGCTTCGCCAAGCTCTGAAAACTTTATCTGAAGCTGAGAAGCAGTTGAGGATGTCCAATGACAAGCTAACGTGGTTGACAGCTGCATTGCTTCAACTTGCTCCTGACCAGCAATATGTGTTGCCTACTTCATCTGATAATAGTTTCAACCATAGTCCCTTGGCTCTAAAAAATGCAGATGGGAGAGAAGCAGCTAGAATAGGTGGTAATCCTGTTGAAATTCCTAATGAAGCGAGACGAGTATCAATGGATGCTAGAATAGAAAATTTCTATGCTGGAAGCTCAGTAGATCGTATGACAAAGGGTCTTAGTTCAGAGAAAAGGAGACTTAGTGTGTCTGGTTTTGCTCCTCAACATACTTATTCGCATGCCACCAATAATATTAGGATGAATGAAAGGCAGATTTTTGGTAAAAACCATAAAGAAATTGAAGAGATATGGTTACAGGTGCTTGAGAGGATTCCAATTACTGGTCTGAGAAAATTCTTGCATAAAGAAGGCAAGCTGATCTCTGTTAGTTTTGGGGCAGGTGAACATCAAATCTTCACAATGCTTATTCAACAATGCAATTTTATAATTTTTTGCAGTGATATAATTAAAATTCCCCCCCCAGATAATTTTTCAATGCATTTGAGATCAGGAAGAATTAGGGAATATGCTACTCTACCCATGTGATTGCACTGAATGTAGTAATATCAATTAAAGGGCCTAGCATTACTGTTATAGATCATTGAAATTTCAGTTCTGGTAGCATTGTTTAATGATTTTAGAGTTCATTATAAAGTTAAGATTGGTTAAAAATCCTGTGATGCTCAGCTTTTAGTAATGTTATAATCAATGTTAATATAATATGCATTAGTTTTTAATGAATTTAAGGGCGGGAAGAATTAGGGGATAGGCCGGTCTTTTTATGTGATTGCCTAAATATAGTATCAACTAAAGGGCATTGTATTTCTATTATAGTGGATTGAATATTCAGTTCTGGTAGCATTCTTTATGAATTTTAGAGTTCATGATAAAGTTAAGAATGGTTAGTATGCGGCACATGCTGCTGTACTCACAGTAATAATGGGCTTTCTATTTTCAGTGCTTGTCGTTCACTCTATTTCCATGTATTATTTATGATGTATTTCATTCATCATTATTTTTCCATTTAACTGGTTGACCTTTTTTTGAATCTTATTTTGTTTCTTGTTTAATTTATTGATATTGTTATTTGTTGTTATAGTGTTGCTTCTATGTCACTCCAACATTTGCTTTGCTCATTGACGTTCATTCATCAATTATCTAATGGTAGGGTGGTACTTTATTGTGCAGCTCCAACTGTGCAGCTAATGCTTAGTTCTCAACAGACCAAATCTACTGCTGAGAGGTTCACAGGTCCCATCTCACAAGCATTTGAATCTATCCTTGGATCTTCTATAACAATAGAAATTAGATGTGATTCAAATAAAGATGAAGGCTCAGCTGTTCAACTGCCTCTTATATTGCCTGCTGTCAACGATGGTTCGTCCCAGATTAGAGACTTAAATGGTGTTGGCACTCAAGCTCATCCTGCACTAACTGATTCTGTTGGAAATAGAAGGTGGGAAGAGGCAGCTTCTCAAGTGGAGCACAAGAATAATGAGCAGCAGGTTGATGCTCATGCAACACCTTATAGAAGCCTAGAAGGTACAAGCATAGGACATGCATCAGCTTCCCAAAAAAAGCCAATTGTTTTAGAGCGAAGAAAGCTTACAGACTTAAATGGTGTTGGCACTCAAGTTCGTCGTGAACTAACTGATTCTGTTGGAAATAGAAGGGGTGAAATTGTAGAAGAGGCAGCTTCTCAAGTGGAGCACAAGAATAATGAGCAGCAGGTTGATGCTCATGCAACACCTTATAGAAGTCTAGAAGGTACAAGCATAGGACATGCATCAGCTTCCCAAAAAAAGCCAATTGTTTTAGACCGCAGAAAGCTCAGGGAGCAGGGTCATAGTCAAAGTCTTGTAAGAAGTAAGGTATCCCTTGCTCATGTAATCCAGCAGGCCGAAGGTCAGCGAAGTGGGTGGTCAAAACGCAAAGCAGTTTCTATTGCTGAAAAGCTTGAACAAGAGAATCTGTATGTTTCTGTTCCATCATTTTCTCTTTTGTCGTGTACTATAGCTAGTTTTAGAGATGATATGTGGCTCATAATTTCTTAAGGATGGTAGGGGGATGGGAATCTCAAATGGACATAGTATTTCCAAATTTTAATTAACCTAGGTGTTAGTAGTCTTATGCTGGACCACGGGATATCTATATTTCACATCTGGTAGGTGAGTTGAAATTTTTAAAAATATATCAAGTTTTCTATGATGGAATAAAATCATGTAAAAGTCCGCAATCTAGGTATTGCGGGAATGTAGAATTGAATAATTAAGAAGACTGAATAAGAGTTTCCATGAACTATATGCTAGGTTAAGATTATCCTTCCTTTTCAATCATGAGTCAGTATGGGATAGGAATTGTTGATGTGAGTATTTTGGAATATTGAGCTTTGGAATTTGGATGTTATCCTGTTTCAGTAATACAGTAATGTCTATGTTATAACTGCCTATTAATTCTATAATCTTTTACTCCTTAGGAGACTGGAGCCAAGATCAAGGAGCTTACTATGCTGGAAAGCATCAAGAGTAACCTGTCGGAAGGTAATTCATGATGCTAAAATTTATTGTTAAAAAGCATAAATAATTACAAAAAAATAAAAAATCCAATTAGCTATAGGACTGGCTTCCTTGCTAAATATTTAAATATTTGAGATCCATAATTCATACATTTTTTATTTATATTCTAATTTTCTTAAGCCATAACACATGAATGCACAATATTAACGTTATACTACACTGAGCTAGTATTAGATTTAGATTTGAATTTGATACAACCTGAAATATCTTATGGCAATCAGAACTGTACCTTTGCTAGATCATCTATTAGGAAGGGGCATCCTTATTAATCTAATCGTTTTATTTTTCATTCGGAGATAGCTGGGGGTCTCTTTCTAATATAAGGTTCGGGCTTTAAGAGGTCTAACTAAATTGGTTTTTGTTGTTCTGACAGTCTTATTGACTTTGAAAAACTATTCATAAAAGCATGCATTGTGTAGTTTGATGTAGCAATGTCCTCAAGACTACAAACGTAGTATAAGTTCCATAGCAGGGATGATGTGCATGCATATATTTTTGGAACCTGATGTAATTCTGCTCAGCTTTTGAGTCCCTGTATAAAGAATCTTGGGATACACCACTCCAAAAGCTAGCTCAAAAGGTGAGAGTGCCCAAGGCCTTATAAAGGTCACATTACATACAATCAATGTGAGATTATATATCTCAACACGCCCCCTCACGCAAGAGCCCTTTGGGCTATGACCTTATAGTCACTCAAGCTCTGATACCATATAAATAATCTTGGGATACACCACTCCAAAAGCTAGCTCAAAGGGTGGGAGTGCCCAAGGCCTTATAAAGGTCACATTAGTTGTCCAAACAATCAATGTGGAACTATATATCTCAACATATAGCAAGTATTTAATGGGATGATTTTGTTTTTCCTTTCGATAGTATTACCTGTGTTTCTTGCTCGGCTATTAATTCAAGTGCCACGTTGTGTTCATTTTATTATTATTATATTTCTCAACGTTCATCCTATAATATAATTTCACCACCTTCAAGAATATATTTAAACATTTTAAGGAAAAGTTGTTGGCTACTGAGTTTAGTGAAATGAGTAAATAAAACACAGCGAATGTATATATTTTTCTGTTTCTTTGCCATTGATTAAAAACCAAAACAATTAAGAAATAAAAAATCACCAATTATGAGAATATATATATATATATATATATATATATATATATATATATATATATTAATTGATAATTTTTTATATTCTCTCTCCTCCATAAAATTAGGAAGAGAGAGAAAGTGGAGGAGAGAGAATATAAAAAATTATCAATTATTTAGCAAAACGACGTCGTTTAATCTAAAATGACATTAAGTTATATCCTTAATAACGACAAACGATTCTACCATAAAAGATTTGATGTTTTGATTGGGTGTGTGTGCTTGTGCATGTTTATTGATTTTATGCACTATGTTTGTATTAGCCTGGTGGTGTTGCAGTTGTAACATATCCAATATTTTCATGGTTTACCGATGGAAGTTCTCTTAAGTTTTTAATGTTAAATATGATGTTAGAGTTTGTTTTGCAATTTATATGTTTTTCATTGTTATATATGAGGACATGATTCATGTATTTAATTGCATTGGCAGCTGTCACGCTTGAAAATCCGACCCCGAAAACCACGTGCATTGCTGAACCTTGTCTCATGTGGGAAATGTCTCTCTACAAAATCTCCAAGGTAGTTCAGAGAATCTTTCAAGGGTGGGGTTCATTCAATAGACATTTGTAATGCCTTAGATTCAGGCTTTTCCTGATGTGTTAATAGGGTTAAATTTTATGGGTTCAAGCCTATTTTTCTTCTTTTCATTTGATTGAATAAAAGCATGTAGTTACACATCAGTTGAAGAAAATGTAGGAGAGTAGTTAAAGTAGTAAATTCCATTTTGGTGATTACTTTTCCTTCCTAGCACAAATTTGATGGAAATTTCAAAATCAGATTCTGTTGAAAATTTTATCAATTACTATTGGTTTGTGGGCAGTGTTTTTCATTGGACCTTTACTACTAAATCATTGGCCTCGATAATGCAATAATATGGATTAAGTTCCTGTAACGTGCACTTCAAGGGAGTTAATTGTTGCAAGTTTGTAGACTGTTATGAGGTTGCTTATTTGTTATAAAAATCTAAGTAACCGTTGACTCTTTCACTAACGGTGATCCAGTTCCCTATATCTTGAGCATCTATCTGCTTGTTGCACTTTCAAATTCACTAACACAATCCCATAAACTAACAAAGCAATGCATATTTAATCATTCTGCTACACCTTCATTCAAATCACTAAAGCAAAAGTAGTCGCATGACTACATGTGCAGCTCTATAATGAATCTCCTTAGATGCGGATACATATTTTGAAACCCCTGCAACTTCTTTCCTGCTGAACGTACCTTCTTTCACTTTAGTCAGAAAAGATCCATTTCAAAAAGCTTCCATGGCCAAATTATTCGAAGTTGTAGTGTCAAATCAATCTTGGTCCCAAAATGAATATTATAGGTTGGAAATAGTTTTATCATATGAAAAAAAAAGCAGATGAGTTGATCAATAATTGTATTCTGCTTCATGCCTATCTTTTTATTTAGGCCTTGATTCTTGACTTCACCATTGTGCCTGCCATTTAGCACAAGTCAATTTTTTAAGCTAAAGTAATAAATGCAAGAGAAATTGAGGCTTCCAAAATCATGGGAGATACGTTAAGTGATTAAATGATTGCTCTACCAGAAGCAGACATTAGCATTATTGGCTTGCACCAGCTTAATGGTAGTATTTTTAAGGTCATGAGTGTAATTGAGAAACTCTCAAGTAGAGCTAAAAGGGAAAACTTGTTTGAGGCCAGTGTCACGGCCCTTGTAACCAAGAAGCCACACTTGCAAAGAATTCAAGAAGAATTTGCTAACTATTTAGGCCTGCAATTCCAGAAGAATAACACTACTGTTGAAGAAAGAGCAAGGCATTTGTCAGATAAATAGTTTTAATATCTAAGAGTCCAGACTTAATAGGCATTTTCCAATCAAATGATGACTGCAATTAATTTTTCCCTTAGTCCTTCTTCTAAGGAACACGTCCAACTTTTGTGTATTAGAAACAACAAAACAAAAGAATTATATTAGTAAAATAATTAAGGACTGAAAGAGTGAATGGTAAAAAATATCTTTCAAGCGCTAGATATACTCCATGTATTAACAGCAGCATATTCTTTTCTGATTCTACTTACAGAAAAACAACGTAGTTCTTTTATCTGTTTCATGTGTACTTGATAGTCAAGCAATCAATCAAGTTTAGTATTGATGAATTGGCACGATGGAAGAAAGCCCATAATTCAGTGGAAAATGAAAATGATAAAAAGAATCTGGCCTCGAACAGGTTTGTGTATTCTCCAGCAAAAATAGTCACATCTGAAACAAAACAAAATTCCCTCCTTTAAGTTCAACTGTTAAAGACATTTAAAGAAGAGAGGCATTTCAAAGGCAAGCAAATACACGCAGAGATAGATTTTCAACTTGAAGTCCTGATAACCCTTTTCTTGAAGCAAATGGCAAAATCGGCTTTAGGAAACTTCAAAAATAAAGAAAATCATAAGTGAAAATATTATTCACATAAATACACCAACCAACAAAAGATAAGTGGTTATATTTGTTGGGAACTCAGTTCCCTCGAACTCGGCTCAGGGGCCTTTTGTGCGGAAGTTAGTCAACACGATCTTGATCTCGGATCTCGACAATACCTCGGCCTGAACTTTACCAGGTCGGGCAGCGCAGAGAAAAAATCAAAACGAAAAACAGGAGAGAGAGAGAAAGGAAACACAACCAGTTTTAACGTGGGAAAACCTTCTTTAATGAAGAAGTAAAAACCCACGGGACCTAGTCCAGATCAAGAATCCACTATGAAAATAATGGTTACAAAGAATCAAATACACCAATGTGGTGGTTAACTCAACCTCTCCAACAATGGTGATAATCAAACTACCGTAGAGATGTTTCACTCAAACTCTCTCTAGAGATCTCTCAAATGCAAAGCATAAAGCTTTGCTCAAACAATCAAATAATTATCTCTCAAATTTTCTCACTCATTCTCTTAACCTAGCCTCCACCCACAACTAATGAATATATAGAGGAGGTGAGATCTAGGGTTAGGGTTTTTAGGAAACCCCTCAATGGGCTTGGGCTTAGCATTGAAGGAGGAAGCCCAACAAATCTCCCCCTCCGACTTTAATGCGTCAGCTTCAGCATCAACCCGGCTCCTTCACAGCAGTCTTCAAATTTCCTTGCTGGAACCGGCTTTGTCATCATGTCGGACCAATTTTGGTCAGTGTGCACCTTGACGAGTTCGAGCTCTCCACCTTCCACCACATCTCGGATCCAGTGATACCTCACATCAATATGCTTAGTGCGGGAGTGATAGGTCGAATTCTTCGCAAGATGGATTGCGCTTTGATTGTCACAACCCAGCTCGTACTTGTCTTGATTATGGCCGAGTTCCATGAGGAACTTCTTCATCCACAGCATCTCTTTGCTCGCCTCAGTAGCGGCAATGTACTCAGCCTCAGTTGTCAATAGTGCAACACATTTCTGAAGTCTTGATTGGCAAGAGACAGCTCCTCCGGCAAATCTCATCAAATATCCTGTAGTCGACTTCCTCGAGTCGGCGTCTCCCCCTAAATCAGAATCCGAGTAGCCTTGCAACTCGGCTTTGCCTTCTCCAAATCGGAGACATAAGTCGGTTGTACCTCGGAGGTACTTAAAAATCCACTTCACTGCTTCCCAGTGCTCTTTGTCGGGGTTTGACAGATACCGGCTTACCATTCCAACAGCATACGCCATGTCGGGTCTAGTTCAAACCATTGCATACATCAAGCTTCCGACGGCGGATTGGTACGGGACCTTCATCATCTCATCTTTGTCTTCATCAGATCTCGGACATTGCTTCTGGTTTAGCTTTATGTGTCCGGCTAAGGGGGTGCTCACTGTTTTGGCTTTGTCCATGATGAATCTCTTCAGAATCTTCTCAATATATTTCTCTTGAATTAGCCACAGTAGCTTCTTCTGTCTATCTCGGATAATCTTGATTCCGAGTATCTGTTTTGCAGGGCCGAGGTCCTTCATTGCGAAGGACGAGCTCAACGCCTTTTTCAGGGCGGCTATCCTTGATTTGTCTTTCCCTACAATAAGCATGTCGTCAACATATAACAACAAAATCAGAAAATCTCCTGCCTCATACCTCTTCACAAATACGCAGTGGTCGGCTTCTGTCTTCTCAAACTTGTGATCTGTCATGAATGATTCAAACTTCTTATACCACTGCCGAGGTGCTTGCTGCAAGCCATAGAGGCTCTTCTTCAACCGACATACCAAGTCTTCTTGGTCTGGAGCTTGAAATCCTTCAGGTTGCTCCATATATATTTCTTCTTCTAAATCACCGTGAAGAAATGCCGTCTTCACGTCCATTTGTTCTACCTCGAGGTCCATCGAAGCCGCCATGGCTAACACGGTTCGGACCGAAGTCATTTTAACCACAGGAGAAAAAATCTCCTCAAAGTCTACTCCTTTCTTCTGATTGCAGCCTTTCACTACAATCCGGGCTTTGTATCTCGGCTTCTGCCCGTTCTCTTCGTTCTTAATCTTGTAGACCCACTTATTTTTCAAAGCTCATCTTCCTTTAGGCAACTCGGTCAGCTCATAAGTCTGATTCTCGTGCAAAGACTTCATCTCGTCCTGCATTGCCTTTTCCCATCCTTCTTTCTCTGAGCTCGTTACAGCCTCATCATAACTCTGAGGCTCACCGTCTTCAGCAACAACGGTGTATTAATCAGATGGGTATCTCGTAGAGGGTCTTCTTTCTCGAGTTGGATATCTCGGCTGTTCTTCAGCTTGAGAACCCGGTTCATCATTCTCATCATCAACTCGGACCTCAGTGTCTTAGTCATCTTCAGCTTGTTGCTGATCATCATTTTCTTCATTTTCTCCCCCTGCTTCAGCTCGGACAGGAGGGATGGGTTCTTCGCGTCTGACAGTAACTCGGACTCTGGGCTTCGAGATGTCATGAATAGTCTCATCTTCATGAAAGATCACATCTCGGCTTCTCACTATCTTCTTATTGATTGGATCCCAAAGTCGGAACCCGAACTCACATCTCGACGAACCAAGATAGATGCATTCTTTTGTCTTCGCATCAAGTTTTGCCCTTTCATCTTTAGGGATATGCACGAAAGCTCGGCATTCAAACACTTTCAGTTGATTATAGGCCGCTTTCCGACCTGTCTAGACTTCTTCTGGAATTTTTCCTTCAAGTGGCCGTCATGGTGAGAGGTTGATCAAGTCAACAACAATTTTGACGGCTTCTCCCCAAAATGATTTCGTTAACCCAGCATTGGATAACATGCTTCGTATCTTCTCTTCAATAGTTCTGTTCATCCTCTCAGCCAGTCCATTCAACTGTGGAGTCTTGGGGGCGTCTTCTCAAGTCTGATCCCAGCCGCTCTGCAGTATGCATCAAAAGGGCCGCAATACTCACCACCATTATCAGATCGGACCACCTTCAATTTCTTGTCAGTCTCCCTTTCAACCGTTGCATGAAATTCTTTAAAGGATTGGAGTACCTGGTCTTTAGACTTCAACAAATATACCCACACTTTGCGGGAATGGCCATCAATAAATGAAACAAAGTACTGAGCTTCTCCAAGGGATCTTTCCGACATGGAGCAGACATTAGTATGGACGAGGTCAAGAATATGCCTGCGTCGTTTAGGTTGATCCGGTCTCACAAAAGAAACCCGGTGCTGCTTTCCAGCTAGGCAGTGTGTGCAACTCTCCAACGCTTGGCCTTTCAACCCGGTCAGTAGTCCTTTCTTGTTCAGGATCTGGAGCCCTTTCTCGCTCATGTGGCTGAGGCGCTTGTGCCATAGCTCCAAGCTAGGTTCATCTCGGACAGAATTGGCTTCTCCGCCATTGATCTTTCCTTGCATCACGTACAATGAGCCTTCCTTCTTACCTCGGGCCACGACCAAGTTTCCCTTGGCCAGCTTCCATCTAACACTACCGAAGTAGTTCACTAACCCAGCATCATTAAGTTTGCCTACCGAGATTAGGTTCAAACGCATGTCAGGAACATGCCTTACATCTTTCAACACAAGTCGGCATCCGACATCCGTGGTCAGGGTTACATCACTGACACCAACAATCTTGCTGGTCACTTGATTTCCCATCTTCACGACTCCAAAATCACCACCTCGATAAGAGGAGAAAAAACCTTTGTGTGGAGTAACGTGGAAGGAGGCACCGGAGTCAACAATCCAGGTGCAATCATCATATGCAACATTCAAATAATTATCCTCACCAAGGAGGAATATCTCGGCATTTGAGTTGGCAGCCACCGCAGTGGTGCTCTTGTCTTCCCTTTTCTTGGGAATAATCTGATCCGGCTTCACAGAGCCGTTCTTCTCATCATTCTGCAGGGTCCAGCGGTCTGGCTTCTTATGGCCTGTCTTTCCACAGTAAAAGCACTTCAACTCATATTTCGGCTTTGACCGACCTCTGGACTTTTCTCGTCTGTCACGACCTCTACCCCTGCTTTTGCTTCTACCCTGAGAGTCAGATTTCCCTTTGTTCTCAGCAATGTTGGCCTCAGACGTGCTTGAAACACCTCGTTCTCTTCTCCTGACTTCTTCGCTCAGGAGACTGTCTGTCACGACATCCATCTTCAACTTTCCTTCTGGAGCTGAATTACTCAAAGTCACCACCAGAGTATCCCAGCTTTCTGGAAGCAAGCTCAACAGCAGCAATGCCTGCATCTCATCATCAATTTTCATCTCAGCTTTTGACAGCTGATTCACAATACCTTTATAGGTGTTGAGGTGTTCAATCATGTTCATGCCGTCCTTGTATTCAAGCTTCACAAGTCGGCGAACCAGGTATGCTTTATTCCTGGGAGTCTTCTTCTGAATCACGGACTCCAGCTTCGTCCACAACTCATACGCGTTCGTGAACTCGGACACGTGCTCAAATAGGCTTTTATCAATATATTTCCTGATCGTGGCTACCGCCTTCCGACTAAGGATCTCCCACTCCTTATCAGTTTTGCCTGCCGGTCTCTCATCAAGGGTAATGGGCTCATGTAAATCTTTGCAGTAGAGATGATCTTCCATCATCGGTCTCCAATAGGTGAAATTATCTGCGGTTAATTTGAACATGTCTCCATCATTGGTTATGCCACTGGTCTCCATCTCGTCTCCCTCAGAACCCGTCGAACCCGGGCTCTGAATACCACTGTTGGGAACTCGGTTCCCTCAAACTCGGCTCAGGGGCCTTTTGTGCGGAAGTCAGTCAACAAGATCCTGATCTCGGATCTCGGCAATACCTCGGCCTGAACTTTACCAGGTCGGGCAGCGCTGCGAAAAAATCAAAACGAAAAACAAGAGAGAGAGAGAGAGAGAAAGGGAACACAACCAGTTTTAACATGGGAAAACCTTCTTCAATGAAGAAGTAAAAACCCACGGGACCTAGTCCAGATCAAGAATCCACTATGAAAATAATGGTTACAAAGAATCAAATACACCAATGTGGTGGTTAACTCAACCTCTCCAACAATGGTGATAATCAAACTACCGTAGAGATGTTTCACTCAAACTCTCTCTAGAGATCTCTCAAATGCAAAGCATAAAGCTTTGCTCAAACAATCAAATAATTATCTCTCAAATTTTCTCTCTCATTCTCTTAACCTAGCCTCCACCCACAACTAATGAATATATAGAGGAGGTGAGATCTAGGATTAGGGTTTTTAGAAAACCCCTCAATGGGCTTGGGCTTAGCATTGAAGGAGGAAGCCCAACAACATTGAAATTTAAAATACATAGATTTCTATATAACAGTATTTTATCATAAACAGTTAAAACAGGCTGAGTTTTTTTTTTCTTTGATTTGACTTCATATCTGTCTTACCTGATTGAAAAAGGGGGGTATTTCTTTTTCTGTCTCAATGTGCATCTGTTAACAGCTCACAACCGAGTTCTCATTCATTAATCCCTGCATTTCCAAGCATAACTTTGTGGCTACACTACAGCAGCCAAATCCCCTTTCAGTCACTTTTATCTGCCTTGATGTACCACCTGAATCTCCATGGCTGGTAAAACATACCCTCATACTATGGTTATTTTCATATATCAAACCTTTTACCTACCTATCATTCACTTAGCATATATAAAAGCACTCAGCTCCATTACACCTCCCACACAGCAAACACTCATTGCAAAATCAATTAACCTATCATTTGCCTCTTTCCAAAAGCAGCAAAGCAATATCTAGAGCTTTCAATTACCAATAAGAAGATGAAGCAAACAATATTCTTTTCACTCCTCCTAGTACTATTTGCTCCCATCTTTTCTACCACCACTTTAGCCCAGTCACCAGCTGCAGCCCCTAAAGCCCCAGCAAAACCTGCTCCTTCCTCACCAGCTCCAGCACCAGCAAAACCATTAGTCCCCTCATTACCCCAATCACCTATGGCTGATTCTTCTTCTGGTCAAGACATCATCAAAATTCTAAGGAAGGCTAAATCATTCAGCACACTAATCCGCTTGCTCAAAACCACCCAAATTATCAACCAAATCAATGCACAGCTGGTAACTACAAAATCTGGTGGTTTAACCATTCTAGCACCAGATGATGGTGCCTTCTCACAACTCAAAGCAGGTTACTTCAACTCTCTGGATGGGCGCCAACAGAAAGAACTGATACAGTTTCATGTTCTTCCCGTTTATGTGTCAAGCTCAAACTTTGATTCTCTCAGCAACCCCGTGCTGACACTGGCCAGTGATAGCCCCACTGGGTATCAATTAAATGTGACAGCTTATGGAAACAGTGTGAATATTTCAACTGGGGTGGTAAGTGCAACACTCACAGGCATTGTGTATTCGGATAAGACACTTGCCATATATCATGTGGACAAGGTGCTTATTCCTTTGGATTTCTCTAAGCCTAGGCCACCAGCTCCTGCACCCTCTCTGGCGAAGGCACCTAAAGCTGATAAGGATAACTCATCTGCAGAAGATGGTGATCAGGGAGAGACAACCAAAGCCACTTCTGGTGCCATCAATTTAATTAGCATTCCAAGAACAATGTTGGTGTCACTTGGTGTTGCTTTAGTTGCTGCATTAATAATCTCCAGTTGAGGAAGATCCATTTGTAGACTCTTCCTAAATTTTCAGAACAAGCACTGTGAAAATCTCTTTATGCTCTTGGTCTTGGTTTTGTTTGTATTGTGTCTTAGTAACAGTGTTGTTTGAGAGCTATGTGAACCCTTGCCTAATTTTCTCTGAATAAAAATGTGATTGTTTTGTTGAAAGAAAACTGAATTGAATATATGATTTTCTTGTATTATGCTTCTAAATTGCAAATATCTCATCTACGTGAAAGGTAAATTAATTGCTGTCTTATTTATTGGGATTTGAGACTTTGAGACAGGGAGAAGCATTATTAGTTCTTACATAGAGGGTACAATTCTAAAGTTGATGAGATTATGATAATTGTGGATATAATGAGCCTAATTGTATACGCCTATACAATATGATGAAGTCATATACGACATTTGGTGTTGCTCTAGCAAAATCATGACATCATAATCTTGATGGAGATTATTGTTAGCTGCAACTTTTACATGAATTAACAGTGTATTTTCTGTGGTATTGGGCTGTATACGACTTAAGTTGCAGGTAAATGGGCCCAAATTATAAAGAATTGGCCCAAGCAGGTATTTGGCAGATTGGATGGCACTTTTGTGAATATTACTAGTGTTCTGCTGTGCCATTTGGAGCTTTTGGAATTCTGTTTTTAGTTAGTGATTAGGAGTTCTTTTTTATAAGAAGTAAGTTTTAGTTTAAAAAAAGAAAGAAAGTAGTATCTGTTTGCAAGTAAGGCACGAAGAAAGAAGAGAATCTTGGAGGGAACTCAAGAAGATCATATTTCAGATAAGTAGAATCTTTCTGAACAATGTTATTTTCCTTTTGAATGATCTGTACCTTTTAACTTTAACTTTTCTGTTTCTGAATGTGGTATGCAATGACAATTTATTTTCTTGTTCTGAGTTTAATTGTTCAAGTTACTGCAATCATGTATTTCTAATTCCTTTCATGTAATCTGGATGATTTGGTTTATTCCCATTAATTAGGATTACGTGTATAGCTCATTCTTGATTTTCAATTAGAAATTCTTTTGTGTTCGAAGGTAGTGGGAATTATCTTGGAACTATTTTAGATGCATGTATGTGGTTGATTGAATGCTTTAAAATTAGGAATGATTTTGAAGTGAAATGTTAGATTTTACACAAACGAATCAAATTTAATCATTACAGGTTTAATCACATTTGATTCTGGGTTTGGGAAAATTTCAAAAAGTGCTGCAGCATTCAACTTTCATTAACAAAGTGCTATAGCAAGCAAAACGCAGGAATGCAAAATAAAAGGGGAAAACGAAGAATTCCAGTTGCTGATATCTGATTGTCAATTGTAATTATACACGTAATTAGAGTACTTTGTGTAATCAAAACTGGTTTTAGTTTGTGGTAATTGAATTTTAGTTGAAAAGTGAATTACTTAGAATTCAAGAAGCTGAGAGAGAATTAGATAAAAGAAATCAAACACACTGTTACTTGTGGGAATGATATTATCTTTGATAGGAATACTACTGATTCGTAATTGTTAACACGAGATATCAAAGCATTTAAATTCTTGAAAATCCGAAGCTAAAAATTATTGATATCGGTTGTACACTTTTGCCTTGTGTGGAACAGTAAGACCTTCATATTTATTAAACAAAATTACAAATCAAGAAGAAGCAATATAAAAAACATAAAAGCAAGATTAAAAATCATGGAGATGAGATATAAAAAGTAGAATCTTGTTGCAGCAAAGAAATATTGTTTATAATTAGGATTTTTTGTTGTTGTGAATTATGGTTTTTTTCTCCTTTTATTGAAAATCATCTTAGACATATGTTAATATTTCATATTCCTATAACGTTGATTTTATTTTATATTTTGATACATGTATAACGTTGTTTTTTTAATATAATAACCAAGTAAACTCAATTATCGCGCGAGGACAGTTAATCAGTCTCCAAGGAATTCGGGATATAATGAATGGAGAGTTAGGTACATCAGTATGGTAGGTCTCAAATATAATTGTTAGTTCCGTAATCCTTATTACCAAAACCCCTGTCAGACAACGCCACTTTGGGAGCTAACAAGTTGGTTTTTCTCTCTTCCTGATGGATGGATTAACTCACCCTCTATACAGACCAATAGCCCCTTTTCCAACTACATTATCATATTACACACATCAAATTGATTATAACTATGATGTAAAGGCATAATAGTTCCATGCATGCACATTTTTGAGGTACCGTGGGCTCCCACTCCTTTATCACTGTCAAAACTCTTTATGTATCTCACACAACTAATCAACAGGATGCACCACCTTTCTATATCCATGATGGGTAAAGGAGATTTGCAATAAGAAAGTTGGAACTTAGCTTTTCAAATTTCCAACCAAACCTTGCACTTATAAAAATGCAACCCCTTCTCCCTCTTTCCTCACAACAGGACACACACGTACGACAGTACTAAACAAACCAACAAGTAGCATTCTCAAAGTGTTCTACTGTTTCCTAAAGCATCTCTCATCTCAACACTAAAAATGAAAACACAACAATCTCTCTTTTCTGCCTCAGTTCTACTATTAGCAGTTACCTTCTTCTACTTCACCACCACAACCACTTCAGCCCAGCTCTCACCGGTTCAGGCCCCAGCCCCACCATTACCACAACCACCACCATTCTCTCCGCCAGCAGCTCCACCGGCCACGGCGCCAGCTCCGGGATTTAACACAGTTCCTCTGGTACCCCTTTCACCCAATGGTGCTCCCACCCCAGTTGTCCCAAAATCTCCCTCCATTGACATAGTTCAAATTCTGAGAAAAGCCAAAAGATTCACCGTTCTCATTCGGCTTCTAAAGACCACCCAATTGATCAACCAACTCAACTCACAGCTCGTGACTTCTGGCTCCGGTGGGTTAACCCTTTTCGCACCAGAAGACAGTGCCTTCTCTAAACTAAAACCAGGGTTCCTCAACTCTCTCAGTGATAGACAGAAGGTGGAGCTCTTACAGTTCCACACCATTTCATCATTCATCTCAGTCTCAAACTTCGACACACTCACCAACCCGGTTCAGACCCAAGCCGGTGACGACCCCAAAAGGCTTCAACTTAACGTCACCACCTATGGTGGGAGCCAAGTCAGCATGACAACCGGTGCCGTTAACGCCACCGTTACCGGAACCGTGTACACGGATAACAAGCTTGCAATATATCAGGTAGACAAGGTGCTTCTCCCTCTTGACGTCGTGCTTCCTAGTAAGGCTCCTGCACCGGCACCGGCGAGACGAGGCACCCCTAAGTCTGATAAAACGAAGTCATCCTCTGCCGTTGATGGTGCCGGCGGTGATGATGGTGACAGTGAGGACAAGGCCTTGCCGGTGGAAGCTTCTGCTGGTTCCGTCAGCTTCAACGTAGAGGCAATGTGGGTGCCTCTTGTTCTTGCGGTGGCTTTGGTGGGTGAATCCATGATTTGATGCGGATATTAATTAGAGGGTGTGAGGGGTCCAATGATGATGTTGTGACTTGTGAGTGATTGTTTGTTCCTCGTGTTTCACATTTATATATCCGCTGGGTTTCTTTGCTTTGTTTTTCCTTTTTAATCTTTGTAACCAAATTTATATAAGAAAAGGGTTCTCTATATTAATTTTTTTTTTTTTCATAAGAGTTTGATGAACCATGGGAAAGAAAGTTGTTAATTTTTTTTAATTTAAATTTTAAAAAAATATTTTTTTATGTTTATCTCTCTTAAAATAATATAATTTTATGTCATTTAAAATGAAAAATAATTTCTTCTTACTTCTTTTTTACGAGTAGTATCCTTCTCAGGAAATAATTTTACTCGGACGGATGCGTTTAGAGGATTAAAATTTAAATTTTTATCAAATATGATGATATTAGGGAGGATCAAAAGAGATACTCTACCTCCACATACTGAACTCCCGTACGCCGCTATCATAATTTTGTCCTTCTATTAAATATTTTGTTTTGAAATTTTTATTATTTGACGATACTTAATTGTCCTTGCCTCAATGATTTCTCCCAATTTGATTAGTCGAGGTTGACGGTGAATCACCCTTTAAATTTTTGTTTAAAAAAGAAAGAAAATAATATCATTTTTAAACATGATATCGATTTAATGCAATGGCAATGGGTTCCGCATGTCTCCCATGCCCGACTGCCACATGTCGTGAAATGAAAATGTCGTGTGTTGTCATAGAATAAATCTTTGTGCTACTGTTGCACCAAGATTCAGTGCATCTTACTAATGAGAGCATTACACATCATAGGAGAGAAAAAAAAATTGTCCGAGAAAATAAAATTTTAGCTGACATATAATATTTTTATTGGTGGAATGTACTGAATTTTTGGTGCTACAGTAGCACCAAAAATTTGTTCGCTGTCATATGTCAACACACTAGTCTTGCATTACATGAAACTAACCACGGTTTAGATCGTAGTTAATTTTTTTCAAATATATTTGAAGGCAACATGTAGCACTTCCACATGAATAGAATGAAGTCACGTTAGTACTAGCAGGTACTTTGGCACTGGTTAATTTAATAATATTTATTTAGCTATCCTTGAAACGTAACAAATCATGTTTTTAATTTTTTTAAAATTAGTCACGTTTAATCGTTGTTATATAACTGTGGCACCGGTTGAATATTTTGGCACTAACTTAAATGCCTTGTTAGCTCCGCCACTGGTGTGAGACTTAATGTATTAGATTGATACTATCTTTACAAACTGTATTATTTGAGAACTTTTTTTAAAAAAAGTTATTGTAGTTTGGTCGAGGAACCTACTATCAATTAAGTATATCATTTTTTATCATCACTTTTATAACTGTAGCACCACGCCAAACAAATTGTTTATTTTTTCCGTTCATCGGCACGAGTAATGCACTAGTAGTAATAAAATATAAGTATAATTGACCTCAAATTTGATATGATAGTACCATGTTGTGGAACGGGTAAACGAGGGAACAGTGACCAAAGTGCCACTGTTCACCAACTTTTTTACCTAAATATCACGCGAACAGTCTTATTTCTCATTCTGCCACGGGGGCAAGTTCGCTACTCGGTGTAGCGAACTCGATTTGCTGACGTGTCACATTTCTAGTGGATAACAAATACCGAATGAAAATAAAAAAAAAAGGTTTGAAGGTCGCTACATAGGGTAGCGAACTTGGTGTCTACTAGAAACGTGACACGTCAGTAAACTGAGTTCGTTACACCGGGTAGCGAACTTGCCCCCGTGGCAGATTGAAAAATAAGACTGTTTGGTGGCATTTAGGTAAAAAAGTTGATGAACAGTGACATTTTGGTCACTGTTCCGTAAACGAGTCCAATCCAAAAGAAATAATCCAACCAGCAGGTGAGGCTAGCAGGCCGAAGAGAGCTGCGGTCCAGTCCAAGTACTTACAAGATCAACAATTGCAGATCTTTGACGTCCAGCAAGCCCAATTCGAGGGCCCATCTTGTGGTATGAGAACCCAATATTGAAAACTAAAATAGCTGCTCTTTTTTTAAAAAAAAAATTATTCTAAAAACTAAAATTCAGAATGCATAAAATGAAAAGTCTATATTCAAAAACCAAAAAAAAAAATTAAAATAAAAATAAAAATAATCTTTAATGCATCTAAAACTAAGATATAACAAATTCAAAGTACTTATCTTAAATTTGAAGTGCATAACTTTTTTGTTATCTGTTTTAGAAACTTTTTTTTAATCTTTTTGAAAGCTTTTGTTTTGTACTTTAATCGCAAACAAATTATGTTTGTAAGATGTCGTAATTATCCATTTTAGTGTTGGGAATGGTACGGGGGAGTCCAAAATCTATTGCAAGGGATACATCCATAGGCCAAGTGATAAACCACAATAAGTGGGTTGACACCACATTTTAACCCAAAACCGTAAGGCTGTAAGTTTATGGGTATTTTGCACTTATATGGTCATCACTTGGTCTAGGTCTAGCCAATGTGGTACTTCTTTACAACTCATATTTGAATACTTCCAACATCTTCCCCTCAAGTATGAGACCCAACATCATGCTCTCCCTTAAGGGCAACTTCTGCGGAAATCTTTTTTCTTTAAGTATTGGAGTCACACTAGCCTTCTGCGGAGACCTTTAAACATCACTATCTCTAAATACCCGGTCCAACCAAACATTTGGCTCTGATACCACTGTTGGGAATGGTATGGGGGAGCCGTAAGGTTTGTCATTTGGCCCATTGGTGGATGTACCATTTGCAAAGAGTTTTGGGCTCCCTCGTTCCATTCCTATCATTTAGCCCTTATAATTAATCAATTTATCTAATATTATGTATTATTAAAAAGTGACAAACCAACGGGTCAATCTACACCCATTTAACTTGAAGGTTAATAAACGAATTTGATTAAATGAACTAATTTAAATAGGATAGTATAATTTATAGAAGTGTAACTCTTAATTTTAGAGCGGAAAACAAAAGTCTCTCCATCAGAAGTATAGAGTATTTTCAGCCTTAGGATACTGTATCAACCATTTGGAGTAGAGTAGCTTTGTCGCTCTTTGGTGTCTAATTTCTGTAATTCTACGGTGTACTTAGTCACTGTGCTTTTGAAATTAAATACACGGCGGTTTCAGAAAATTTTTTTATGTGTGCACACTTAAGTTGTTACAATAGAACGATCACAAAAGTCTTCGTCAAAGCAATGACATAAGATTTAAGCTTTAAGCTTTTAATTATAGGGATTGGTTGGGTTGGGCCCATGTTAGTTAAAATTTCGATTTAAATCTGTGATTTTACGATTTTTTTTAATCAAAACGATTTCATCAAAATTCCAAACACTTTTACGATTTTATGATTTTTTTCTATTTTTTTTACGTTAAGATTTTACGTTTTACGATTTTTTACCTTTTTTCTAATTTGATGTAAGATCTCAATTTTAACTATTATGGTTGGGTCTGTGTTTACTTTTTCTTTTCAATCTTTCAATTTTTTTTTTACTTGACCTAAATCATCCACTCCTTTGAAAAAAAAAATTCAAAATTTTTTTGTCTACATATGCACACAAATGCAACGTCAGTTGAATACATGTATTAATGCCTACTAAAAAATACATGTATTAATATTAGTACAATTTTTCAACACGTTTTTCAATGATCACTTCCAAACATATCTATCTCACTTCAACATATTTGATTTCGTAAATCTCCGTTAATTGGTTATAGTTGAATTAAACCAATATTCATAGAATAAAAAGGTAGGCGCACTTTTGAGGCATAGAAAAGACAACGCATTTAAACCATTAACATGTACATATAGTACATCTTTCCCACCTCCTCCTTGTTGTGGTTCACATTAGAAGGATGACCAATTTGATTTTCTTTTAATATTTAATTCAGTAATACATATGATGCAGCAGCAGCAGCAGCAATATTAAATTGATGACTTTTGCCTTCCTTCGTCCATAGGTAAGAAATTGTGTGTTGTTTACAATTTGAAATCTCCGTGGTCGGTCCGCCAGTAAAACACCAACCACACAAAGAGGTGAACGGCCCTTGTGCCTTCGATTAAAGGGCAGGCATTTTCCTTAAAGCTTAAAGCATCGTATACCTTCTTCGTTTTTTTTTTTTTCAAACCCACAAATTAAGCTGAGGCACTTGGACCTTCCAACGTTAGCCACATGGCAAAAATTCATGCAGATAAAAATGCACTCTTCCTATGGTTGAAGCGTGTGGGAACCAGGATAAAAATTCAAGTATCAAGAATAACGTTTTTTTTTTTTAAATTCTTTCAAAGATATCCCCAAGCATAAAATCAAGGATTAATTCTCTCCAGACGAAGAGATCACATGATCGTGAGTACAGTCTCTCCTAACAAAGCTTTTTCTATACACACAATCAGGCATCGAACCTCTGTCAGCATGCTTAAAGGATCAAATTATCTACCAAGCTTTGTTGGTATAACGTTTTTTTATAATGTCTTTTTTATTATGTTCTGGGGGAGGCAGGCAAGAATAACGTCTTTATCTTTAATACAAGAGTATAGTTTTAAGAACAATAAGGATAATAAAAATCAAACTAAATAGCAGTGTTATCAAATTCGATTTGAACTAGTTGGGTATTCCTGAAACTAGGTGAACCAGTGATCTAATCGATTCGGTTCAATAAATAGACTCGTCATTTATCGGACTCGGTGAAAATTAGTTTGAAACAACTATGTTTTATCAAAATGGGCGATTCGGTTGGATCACAAAAAAATCGGCGGGTCATGCATTTTTAAAAAGAAAAATTAAAATTGTTCACAAAATTTCAAAAAATCATAATATTTCCAAATGAAACCCTTACTCGCAATTTCTTTTTTTTTTTGGAAATAATAGGAAATTAAAACAAAAACACAACAAAAAGAAACTAGGCACAAAGCCTAGACCAGTGAACACCTATAGTGTCACCATACAAACGATCAATACAACCTGACGGTGGACTA